CAATAAAATGTTGGTGTGGATCCAGATCACTGGGCGGAAACAGGAATTCTTCGATAATAATTTGTGGATCTATGGATATGTATAATGGACTGATATTTATGAGTGTGGGCGGTTTGGAGCAGCTGGACTGAATTTAACAGACTATCTAAGGAATCTGCTGCATTTTAGAACTTTTTTGTTTCTGGTTTTTGTTATTTCCTTGTGGACTTTGAATAGGTTATATTCTTTTTCTTGTTTTCATGTTATTCTTATGGACTTGTGTGTTCATGGGTTCAAACTTGTGTTTTATATTTATTATCTTGTGACCTAAGGTTACCGTTTGCTAATCCTCATGTGCAATATTACTATGTTTATCACCATATCATATTCAATGTCATGTGCAATATTACTTCCTATTACTCACTCTTATTATCATTGTCATTCCTACTTTCCTACTTATAGTTTACTGTTTCACGTAACTTATTTCACTTCTATTGCTATTTCTATTAGGCCCCTTTCCCTGAAAAACACTTTATATTTCATTTCCTTTATATTACACTTCATAATTCATACTTTTATATTTTGCCCTTGTATGTTTTTATACTTTATATAGCACTGTGACTGTAAACTTGGAGCAAGCTGGCAGAAGAATTTCCTTTGGGAATAATAAAGTCTTATCTTATCTTGTCTTGGCTTATGTTGTCTCATTTGCTGTTTTATTCCGAAGCCACTTTCTTTGTGTGTCCAGTTACTTCTTGTCTTGTCCTGTTTCCTGCCTTTGTGCACCTGTCCTCATGTGTCTCACCTCTGTTCACTCACCCCTGCCTCCCTGTGTGTATCTCTGTGCTCCCACTCATCTGTTCAGGTCTGGTCTTGGTTTCCTCATCATGTTTCGTTTCCCAGTGTTTCTGTTTTCACCCTCCGAAGACAAAAAATATTTTCCCTGGTGCGTACCTTGTTGTATTACATAAGTACTGAATAACAAGGAGTCTTGTACACATACCCTTGTTGATCTGACTTCAAAGAGTGCAGAGATGTAGAGTTTGAGGGGAAGGAATAAACTGTCAGTACTTTCTACTCTGAAAATGTCTTTTCAAAGTAAAACAATACATTTCCTACTTACAAAAATGAATCTGTCATATTTCTTTCAATCTAAACTGCACATCTTCAGTTATCACTGTGTGGGAGCTGAAAGCTACAAATAGGGCATCGTTAGATATATGACACTGACCTGTTTGTCATCCCCCACTTGTTTGGTGTGTGGATTAAAGCAGCTTTACAATACTCTCATACATGTATATTACATTTAAGGGATAAATAAGATGTCTTAACCCATCCTCACCGATGTTTGCAGGATTTATTTGCATTAATTTCTCAGTAGAGGTGAAGTGCATGTTAATGACCGTCTTCATCTCATAACACAACAGGCTGTGGGTGAGGAGAGGTTCAGGTTTGCTTCTTCTAATTTAATAGTGGAGAGAGCAGCTGTTCATGTTTGCTCTATATAGTTTTGGCACCTGTTTTGTTGTGTATGCATGTGTTTATATGTGAGTGTTTGTGTCTTTTAACTGTTTTAACTAAGAGGAGACAACACTGTACAAAAAGATTTGGTTTTTATTCAGTGTTTTCAGTTTCGGTCTTTGAAATAACAACACATATGCATGCTCTGGAAAGAACTGATGGAGGGTTAACTTTTCGAAACTATGATGAATAATGATTTAATTAATTATATCAGCTCATTTATGTAGAGGAACAATGTGCTTTCCATGCATCTAATATATGAAGTGTGTAGAGTTTTAATGAGGCAGATGTTTTAGGTGCTAGATAAAGTATATAACATAATCACAGTAATATATCATCCTATTACTGATCTTGTTCAGATGTGTACATTCTGGTCACATCCACACTAATAGCTTATTAAAATAATCACTGTTGCTACACAATTGGATTTTTTCAAGCCATAAAACAGAGACTTGAGGAGACGCTGCAGGTCCCAACTAAGAAACCAACTGTAAAAAAGAAACTCTGCCACTTTTCTACATGCATGGTAAGCTTTCCGACCTCTGACCTTGAAGTTCAGCGGTTGTGTCTGACTTTCGTGTCATCGTTCCCCCAGAGTGGCGCCCACTGATTTCTGTTTAGTCTTACTTACTCTAAAACAGGCCTCATCAGTAATGACCTCAATGAACACTGAACATTTTGAAATTGAATATCCTGGAGTGAGTGGAAACTTTATGCATATAAGCTCATTCAGAATCTCCTTAAAAACCTGTGCGATTAAACTGATTTGATATAAATGATGATTATAAACAACCACATCCAACAGCTCAGCTTTCATACTCATCTCCAATCTAATGCAATAACTGCACTTATATGGAGATTTTAGAAAAACAGCCCCATCAGTGATAAAAGATAAAAACAGTTACCATAAAAGGCAAAAACTGTCTGTGTGTGTTAGTGTGTGTTAGTGTGTGTGTGTGTCTGTTAGTGTGTGTGTGTGTGTATGTGTCTGTATCAGTTTGCATCTCAGTGGGGAATAAGGATAAAGGACTTGAATGACGGATTTTGTTCATGCTAGAATTTCCCTCTCAGTGACGAAACCACAGACGAGTCAGATTGAATTCACTTTGTGCGTCGAATCTCCTCAGGCAGCAACCTTGAGGGACAACAGGTCATCCAGCTTAAGTGCTGTGCATGGTGCCATGTTAAATACTGTATGGCAAATGCTGGTGGCCCCGGTAGAGAGGACCCACACTGATGTAAATATAAAGTATTTCAATATAAAAGGCCATTCTAAGGTAATGAAAACAGAATTTTGTAGATTTAGATGAAACACACCAATGAAAACATCACCAGGATTAGTTTATATTCAATTTCTGCCAATAGATCCCTTTCACCTAAATTTTACACACTGAACCTTTAAGGGATCTGCATATAGATCTTCATCTATCTGAACTGCCAGATTGTTCAGTCGTATTTGGTGCAATGTTCTGGGTGACAATGACAATGATTTAATATCTGTGCAGCTGCTTTTGTGCAAACACTTTTTGCAATGTGGGGTTCACTATCTTGCCCAAGGACACACAAGCCAAACGACTTGACGATAAGAAAAACATTGTGAAGGAAGTGAGGAAGGCTCACTCTGCAGCTACCTCTGCCTTCACGCTGACCGACAAAACAAGATCTGAATAATCTTAACAGGGTGACTGACCGATGATTAGGGGGAAGCCCCAGTGCACATTACAGCCTCGTGTGAAATAAACCCACACGCCCTGTTCAACCTCTGAAGCACAGATGAACACTCCCACTGCAAACACAACAACCACGACAACTATTACTATTAATAGCACTTCAGTGCTCATGTAGATGGATGGATGATATAGAAAAACTCATTAGGCCCATCACAGTGTGTACAATTTCATATCTTCAACTACTGTATCATGATACAGTAGATCTTTTGAACACTCAAAATTCTGATAAAGTGAAAAGAATGATAGCGTCCCTTTATCTTGTCTGCAAGTCAAGTTGCCTATGTCCACTGGTCCAACTCCTGACGATACTGGATGACAGAATCTCCACACATAGATTCTCTGCCTTGGGTGGTTCTGTGGACTATAAAGTGCCAAAATCATTCAAATCTTCAAATTCTTACTTTATAGCAAAAATGTTCTGCAACATTGCCTCAATACCCATGTGAGAGCGGCCTCATTCTATAGCCCGACCTCATTATAGTATATATTAGAATATCATCTAGTCATATACTTCAGTGGTCAAGGTGGTTTAAAAGACTCATTCTTGCAACAGACTACAGAACTTCCCGTCCTTCAGCCCCTCACCCTGCACAGTCAGCACTGACCCCTCCCTTTCCCCCCCAGACCCCTCAGACAAAGTGCAGTGAGATATCAGGCTCTCCTTTCCCAGCTGAATAATTTACGGCTGACACTCCATCGCTGATTTATTTACTTGACCTTAAATGACACTGATCTCTGGGTATGTGTTCGGATATCAGGAGGATCCTCAGGCTGCACAGCTTGACCACATGGAGTCATTTAATGGATACACACGTCTTGATCTAATATGTGCTTATTAAACCAATCATGGACCCAACTCAAACTAATTACATTGGATGGGGTAACATTGGTCAGGCCCATACACTGTAAGTAAAAAAGACGACATGAATGCCATAGGGCCTTGATCACCCCCTGGTGGCTGGCTGCAGTAAACTGATTATAAACCCACCTCCTCCATGTTAGCAAATGTAACATGTACCAAATGATCAAAGTACACGTTTCTCAAAGATAATTTCTGACACTTAATATAATATCATAGTTTTAATCACACGGATGTTTGCTCAAGTGTTCATTTTCTCTAGTTGGTTTGGCCCATCTTTATAAACATTATACATGTTACAGTGTATGACATAGTATATTTAATTTTCACTTTGTTGACATGAAAACTGCTCACCTTAAAATAAAGTAATAAATAAATTTGTACCTTCTCCAACATTTCATACAATATAAATGAAACACACAAATAAAAACATCATGAGGATTATTTTGTATTCACTGCCAATAGATTCCTTTCATCTGAATCTTACACACTGAACCTTTAAATGGGGGATAACATTATTCCACAATGTCACTCTGCAACGTTACTGCAGAGCAAGAAAACCAAAGGTTATTATTATCAGGTGTTTTTTGTAACTCTAAGTCACTCATATGTTATATTCAAAATATGTATCTCAGTTACATGTCGTCCTCAGCAGCGTCCACCACTCTCATCTCCGTCATCTCTGCAGTCAAACATCCGAAATTTGTCATCAGACCTTTAAGACTGGACTGACATTAAAAAGTGAAATCCAGCTCTTATTGTTTCACAGCATCAGCTTCCTCTCTTCCTGTGGTTTGGACAAGAGTCATAACACTTTACTTAGTCATCAAGAATAGTTAATGAACTGTGCACTGGGTCCAAACTCTCTCTCTGTCTCTTTTCTCATCACTTCTCTCTCTTTTCTTCTCTAGCCACACTGACTTTGTGTGTGTCTCAGTAAAAGGCCACATCAGCCCCCTGCTCTCCTGCAGTACCTGACATGAATTAGCGTCTCATCAGCATTCAGTCCGTCCGTCTGCGCCACCTAAACGATAATTGAACGAGTGCATCCCGTGGGTCCTTCCTCTCACCTTCAGTTACCACACTTTCCTGCTCTTTGAACACCGCTCTGCTTTGCTGTTCTGTGCCCCTCTCTCTGGTGCATTCAGACAGGAAACAAAGTTTACGCATGGCTGGAGGATATTAAGAAGTCAGCTCCAAAGTTGTCAGGAGGGAATCAATAAAGGCTCAGTCAGGTGTGTGTGTGTGTGTGTGTGTGTGTGTG